ACTGTAGGTTTATACTTCAATTCGTTTTCTTAAAACTCAGGCGCGAACCGAAACATGCGCACAGCAAGCAAACAACCGTGGCAGACAACAGTCGTAATTTAAAGATCATAAGATGAAAAACCTCTTCTTGCGGTACATTCTGCACTCAGTTAGAGAGGACACAGATGACGCGACAGAGTGTTGAACTTATGCTCCAGAAGCACGCTGGTGCGGCAGAATCAGCATAGAAGGCAGTTGATGCAACACAGTCGGCTGCTCGCCTTCAGAAGCCAAAATAACTTCATCAGTAAATAAAATTGTGCATTTTAAGACAAAAATTCACGATAAGTACAGCATCGGGGTCCAGATTAAATTCTACTGAAGTACATGGTTCTCCGCTCCTGCCTGTCACCTTGCAGTGATGACAGACAGAGTGGATGAGGGAGTGTTGACCGGGAGGGGCGACGAAATTCAACAATTCATACAGTCGACCCAAAAAGGAGCGCAATGCTCCTCCCCAAAGGGCGAATCATCAATAACTCGAAAGTATGAATACTCATGAGCAAATAAAATTTAAAAAGAGGAAGAGGAAGGTCTGGACGGCGCAGACAGAAAATGCGTTGAGGGCAGTGTCATAATCTTAGAGGAGAAGTTAGATCGAAACAAATTTTTACAATGGCGAAAGGCAAGGCATGTTTTTTATGGTAGTGGTGGTGGTGGTGGTGGCGGCAATGACGGCAGTAGGTCCTGTCGATAACCGGAAAGGGGGTCCCGCTGAGGGAAGAAACGCCTTGTTGTTTCACGTCGCGCTACCGTATTCGAATGGGCCAGATGAGGGGTTATCCACGAGCCAATGACAATCCGCGACAGCACGGAAGTGAAAGACGTTTATGAATGGCCACCATTTACGGACTGAGTCAGGCTACCCCTGGCAGTCGCGGTCGTAGAGGCGATAGAAGAATTTCGAGCCCAGAAGTTGTTCTGAATAGTGATGGCATCCACTACAGTGCTCAAGTGTTTTGTAGACGTTATTTCTGTGAACTGTTTGAGGCCGCTGTTGTATCTTTAACGAAAGATAAAAGGGAAATGGACAAAAGCGTTAGGAAAGCTGCACCGATAGGAGGCGGAAAACGGGAAGCGCAAAGTTCTCCGAAGTTCCTACTGACGATCAGCAAAAAGAGATTATAATCCTGGGGTAAAAAAGAAATTTTAGACGGCTGCGTCGGAGTCATATGTTCAAATGCAACTCTTGAACGAGAGAAAACTGCAGAGATTCTGAGGAAGGAGCATTCGGCTATTTAAAAAGCCGTCAATAAGGGGGGTTCAAAATAAAGCCAGAAATGGTACCAACAGTTAACAGGACGATAAAACTTACTTGAAAAATTTGTCCACCATTTTATGGATTACTTTACGAGGGCCGTTACCGGAAATCAAATGAAGCTCTTCTGACTCAGGATCGAACGCATAAAGAGCTCGATACTGGCAACGTGAGTCGCGGAAAAGAACGATGAAGTGCGATCCATCCACTGCCGCGAGTTCCTGCGAGGCATTAAGAGCGAAAACGGGATAAGCACGTATGACTATGAGGAAACTAATACAAAAAAACTCGGATCAGTGTACATCAGAGAGAAGGGAGGTGCCGGCAGCCCTGACTCCCCTACCCCCCCCCCCCACCTTCCCCGGGGTCACACAAAATTGAACAGACAAATTTGGAAGACAGCGAGAAGGATTGTCCCCTCATCTTCTTGCGGGGCATAAGAGAGTCCGTTTCATGAATTGTGCCTGGCTACTAGGCACTGCGAGATTGATCTCCAAAAGGGGGATCAGATCGACGCGGGGCACGCGATTAGCAGACTGAGCTGAGTCCGTGCTTGGACGCAGGTCATCGTGCGCCCTCAACCACTGCGTCCGAGTCCAGCCCCAGGTGGTTGGCAGGCTGGCGTACGAGAGAGCAAAGCCGACACCGGCGAATCTTGCCTCACGACAAATCACCCCATTCCTCAGTATGGCAAAGCTGGTGTGCTGACTGCTATCATGACGAGCTAAGAGTCGCAGGTTGGAAGGATAGCTTGACTATTTCCATGATTGAGAGTCAGGCTTCAACGGCTCTTTCTTAGTGTGGCCTTCTATGTTATCACCGACAAAGACAAGGGAGACTGGGCTGGTCATTTCTGGCTTTTTAGCCATCGTCAGCCAGTCATACCTAACCCTGAAGTGTAGAACGCCTGGGGCTCGATCCCGCGGCCTGTTGATTAGAAATCCACGCCTCTAACCACTGGGCCACGAGCCCGTTGCCCTGTCGGTTTCGATCGATAATATACAATGGTAGAGGGCGCTTACCGATCGTTTTCTATGGAACTCACTCGTCCCCCTACTATTGTATATTCCCGATCGAAACCGACAGGATAACAGGCTCGTGACTCAGTGTTTAGAGGCGTGGACTTCTAACTAACAGGTCGCGAGTTCGAGCCTCGGGTGTTCCACACTTCGGGCTTGCGCATGACTGGCTAACGACAGCTAATAAGTCAGAAATGGCCACTCCAGTCTCCCTTGTCTTTGTCGGTAATAAAATACTGCCTATATGATGCGCCGCTGTGCGGCTGCTGGTTGGGCTCGAGAGAGAGCCCGTAAGGCACAACGGAACGAGAGTTCCGTAAGAAGGATCGGTGAGCGCCCCCTATCACCACAAATGACTTAGCCAAACTCCAATGGACAGGTCTTTTAAGACTTGCTAAACTCTGCTGCAGAACAATGCGACAGACGGCTGGCAATAGTCCGTAGCTTTGAAGAAGAAAACTTTGACTCCAATGACCTGAAGAAGACTAGCAGTCAAGACAGGTGGGGAGTATAGAACTAACCTGGAGCGTAGTTTTCTTGATAGATTCATTGACCGTGCCGGCCAGACAGCAGTGACTGATGGCGTTGACAATCACTGCTCTGTTGGATTTTGGTTTTGGTTTTGCGTAGAGCCGTGTCTGGGGAAGACCAGCGACCGGTAGACCGGGTCCGCTGTACGCGCTGTCCTCACCACTTGTTAGCCGATGAAGAGCTGTAGAGCAGGCAGAGACGATAAAAAAAGGGCCGATGATTGGGTGTTATGGAGAGTGCAAGCGGCGTAGAGCCACCGCCTAAGGCGCTGAACAGGGGACCAAGCCGGCGGCGTGAGACACGCGTGAAGTTAGACGGCCGACCGGTGTGCACTGCAGCGCCGAGCACGTGTGATGGCTTTGCTCACGTGTGCGGCCTAATCAATGGCTGGTCGAACATTCCAGACGTTTTCGCGCGGGAGGCTATCGCGCACGCGGTGGCCAATCAGCGACCAGCACGCCCGGGACAGGAACATTCTAAAACGCCCTCAACGGCTGGAACTATTTCTCAACCACTCAGAGTACAACCGCGCATTCCCAATAGCTTTTCTTTAGCATATAATTGCTTGACATCGTCGCTTGTGCGTTCCCCTGCCCCACCTGTCATCGGTCCCGTATTACAGGTGGCTGGGTTTGTTTACCTCAGGTGCGGCTACATAAACACACCTGAACAAACCGCCTTCTGCTGTATGATTACTATGGCGACACAGTTTGCCTTCATTCCTGTCGTCATTACTTAATTTCGCTCAGAAATGGGAGGTTGCAGTCAGAAGGCAGCTTGTCATTCGTCTTTTGCTCTTCCTGGGGACCAGGGGTCGACTTGGGCAGCTCCATTATCCAGTTCTGTCTACGCGGAGATTTCATGTGCAGTGCGTGACCTATCTCATGAAACGTTGGCTGAAATTCTGAGATGCGTTTTCGATTAGGAAGGATTACTTGGTCGCGATTGTGCTAATGATTATCTTAAGGCATACTCTTATAACATTTCGGACTCGGCAGGATGTCGGCTTTTGAATGCACTTCTTTTCAGTCTCCTGTGGAGAGCGTGCTCGGTAAAAAATGACTACTTAAGTAGCATTCATTTTCCCCATTTATTTTCGATTGTTTTCGAAATTCAAATATGTTTTATAGAAACCACAAACAAAAATATGCTTTCTCTTAGTCAATCAATAGAGAATCACGTCTTCTTTATATTTCATACTTAAGGAAGGAGTATAATTAGATTTTAAAAAGGTTTCCAATTATGAGACTTTTTAAGACCGCGGTGTGTCCATTCACATAGCATCGTACCTGGCCGTTTACCACTGCTCCTCATGAAATGTCCAACATGGTCCGCATCCATTGCGAAATTTCATGGGCTCTGTATGATATCTCTTTAATGACATAGAAAAATATGGGATTTTCTTTACGCGGAACGCATGCACCTTGTAGAGTGTCGTCACTAAGCGCTAATGCAACGAATGATCAGGCTTCAAATTTTTCGGCAATTAGAAAACTTTTTTAAAACCTAATTACACTCCTTCCTTAAGTATAAAATATAAAGAAGACGTAATTCTCTTTTGATTGACTAAAAGAAAGCATATTTTTGTTAATGGTTTTTATAAAATATATTTGAATTTCCAAGACCATCGAAAATTAATGGGAAAAATGCATGCTACTTAAGTAGTCATTTTTTACCGAGCACGCTTTCTACAGGAGATTGAAAAGAAGTGCATTTAAAAGCCGACATCCTGCCGAGTCCAAAATGTTATAAGAGTATGTCTTAAGATAATCACTATCACAAACGCGACCAAGTAATCCTTCCTAATCGAAAACGCATTTCAGAATTTCAGCCAACATTTCATGAGATAGGTCACGCACTGTACCTTCCAGACATCGTATGAACAAAGTCCAGCCAAGAGGAACTACTGATGCCTTCCCTGCCATGACAAAATTCGGCAGCTGACCCAAAAACAGTAATTTCCCACCGCCACCTACAGGAGAGGCTGCGGCCAGCGGAGAGCTTTCCGACGGACTGGCGCGAGGAGGACCGGTGACGCGGAGTGGTGCAGAACTTGCGCTCCGTATCCTCCGTCTCCAGTTCACTGCCCTCCGTCTCCCCACTGCCGGAGGCACCGCCGTTTGGTAAGCGCCGAGAGCCGTTGCTCGAGGTCACCCTGCTGCCGCCAGCAGCGGCCTGGGAGCTGGACACGGAACAGGCGGCCTTGCCACGCTGGGCGGCGGTAGAGCTCCAGCGCGAGGCGTGAGTAGTGGTCGCGGCCGCGTTGCGATTGGACGCGGGCGCAGGTTTCTTGGCGCCAGCTGCGGATGGCGGACGTGATGTCTCCGTAGCTGGCGCTGTGGGCTTGCTGTCAAATGTGGTGGTGTGTACGGGGAAAAGCGGCTCCATGGGGTTCTAAAAGGGACGATAAACCAGAGGCTGGATATACGTGCCCGCTGACTGAATCCCTGCTTTATGCCTGAGCAAATTGTTGCTTCCAAATAATGTCAGTTTTAAGCGCTATTTACGACTTTTCCTGAACTGTATCACTTTCGCTTAGATATCACATTCAGCTTATTTGCCGGTTGGTATACAAGCTAATTTGGTATACTTTACCTTTTCTGGCCACCCTGTGCTTCGCTGCCCTGCATCATTATGTCGTGTCTTTGGCTCAACGTGTCCACTTTATTCTTATGGGGTTCGCCAACGTCATTCGTCCTTGGGTTTCTATTGGTCATTTGGCTGCCTTGATCTCTGAACTTGGTGCCTTATTACGCAGGCGCTATATTTAACATCCTTCGGTTATCGGTGCTATCTGAGCCAATTCACGGAATAAGAACATTTTTCCAAAACTTCGTCCTTGTTCAACGCTCTCTTTCCCATCCATTAGCCTCACCCGTATAACCCCTACTCCCATCGGTCCCATAAGGCACGGTGGTCTATTCCCCGCGCTCCGCGGATGAGGTCGCATATTGCGTCGTTGCCAATGGTGGGTGATAGTGGACGCGGTGCTATCAAATTCTAACTTCCCACTTTTTTCAGGGGCAAAAATGCGAGCATATTTGTTAACTTAGAGGCAACGGTATAGAGTAGGATCCCACTTAATTGTCAGTAGACTGTGGATCGTGCCATACGTGATTTATGGTAAAGGAAGTTTTATGGGTGATGTAGCACGCTAGACAGTAAGCTGACAAAATGAAAGAAAACAAAAAAATTGCCTGAATTTATGCCGAAAGTCTTATCCTACGCTATTAAACGACAACAGAAATGAGAGTAGTAATTAAACTTTAGGGTAAGGTGATACCATACAAACGGTACAAGTACTAGCCAAAAGCCCATACACGCGCGTTTCGCCGATGTTCTGCAGCTGCATGGCGCAGCTGCGAGGGGTTCGGCTCGTCAGTGGGTCCCCCAGCATTTCCAATCTAGAAGTTGTCACTTTTTAATTTCCTCAGAAATTATCTACGAAGTTGGAGTAGATCAGTTTATTCAAGGTCTATAGGCTCAGACCGAGAATTTTATGCATGAATATTTGTGCCAAAGTCCTTCAGCCACAGCGGGTAACCGCGTAATATTCATTAACTGCCGACAGTCAGTTAGTAGTATGTTTTAATTAGATAAGTAAAAAATAAACGAAAAGTAAATTTCACGAAATAACGAATTTTGAGTTAAGATGTGAGGTCGTGGGAAGTAATCGCGGTTGGCAGTGTAGTTTCTGAAACAGTCTGCAAATGGGTGCCAGGATAAAGCCCACACGAGCCACAGTCTACCGACAGTTAAGTGGGGTCCTTCTCTATACCGTTGCCAACTTAGATCGCCGTCCGGGAAAGGTAAGGGAGTCCGCAGTTCAACGTGTAGCTATCCCCACCCAAGACAGAACCAGCATGCCTCGCCCGGGGACTAACGGTGTGCACCAACCGATGGGTAAAGCCATGACGAAAGGGCGGAGAGGCTGTCAGTGAGTCAGGACTGAGTCATAAGTGCAGCAGACACAGACGGAGCAACAGACGCAGCAATAGGCGTTTTTAGGCACACCGTGGGCGTCAGGCCGCGCTGGCGTGCAGACGTACCCTTAGGGTGAGTGAGCGGGGGAAATGTGACACGTTTGCACCCGCACTACTGACAGAGGAACAATGCGATGCTTAGCGAAGGGATTCAAAGAGGATGAAGCAATCCTTGTTTGAGATGGGGATCCACACATTCATATTATTTACCCTACTTAATAAAGTCCGGGCAGCGTTCGTTTGAATTGTAGTAGTAGTAGAGCTTACTGTTGGTTGTCATGCTCTCACAGCATCTTTTTAACATACATCAGGTGAGCTAACTCATGAAGTGCCCACGGAAATTCCGAAGTGCGTTTTCGTTTCGAAAAGAGTAGTTAAATTGGGTTGTAGAATTAACCATCGTACAGCATAACTTTATAATAATTCCGTTACCCCAGGATGCTGGCTTTCGAACGAACTTCTTTCCGGATGCATGCAAAAACCGCACTCTGTGAAAAATGACTACTTAAATGGCATTCATTTTTCTCTTTGATTTTCGATGGCTCCCCCCCTTCCCACCCCCCTTGTGACACGGCTCAAATTAACCCTCACTGTCACTGACCGCCTCCTCCGCTCGTCCCCCCTCATCCCCGCTTGTTTGTATGAAAGGACGAAACGTAATCGATTGCACTTATCACTCACGTGTGCAGTTTATACAGGCTCGAAATCACGTGAAAGCTCGCCAACTGCTCTTCCGAAATTCAATTATATTTCATGAAAACATGCATACAAATATTCATTCGTTTACTCATTCTGTAGAAAATGGCATCCCCTTTCAATTTTATACTCGAGGGAAGGGTATAATTTGGTTTTCAAAAACTATTCCAATTCCTGTATAATTTGAATCCGGCCCGCCGTTACACTTGCATCCAGGGTTTCCAAACTACAAGCCGTATATCTTCCGCGTACGGAAAACCATTCATTTCTTTACGTTATTAAGAGGGAACTATGTGAAGTTCATAAAAGTTGGCAATGAATTTGAGCCATATTGTTAACTTTACAAGCCACATTGGTAAATGCGGAGACATGGCGTTTTATGAACGGCCATTTCACGGTATTTAAAAATCACACAATTAGAAACTTCTTTGAAACCGAATTATACCTTTCCTCCGAGTATAAAAGTCAAAGAAGTCTAATTTTATTTTAAATAAATAAAAGAATGAATAGTTTCATGCATATTTTCCAGGAAATATAACTGAATTATTAAGACAAACGGAAACCAATGGGAAAAATGCAAGCTACTTAAGTATTCATTTTTTTACAAAGTGTGTTTTGCTTATTCCGTAGAAACTTACGTCTTCTTTTAATTCTACCTTCGACGAAGGGTATAATTTGGTTTTAAAAAGTTTCTAGTTGTGAAATTTCTTTGTACCGTGAAATTCCCGCTTATAGAACATCGTGTGGCCGCATTTACTAATGTTGCTTTTAGATTTTATAATATGGCTCAAGTTCACTGCTAAATTTTATGAACCCCATATGGTCTCCTCTTAATATCGTGGAGAAGTGTATGGTTTTCCATCCGCGGAAAATATACGGCTTGAAGTTTGTAAACATTGAATACAAGTCCAACGGCCGGTCGGGTTCAAAACTATTCGCGAATAAGAAAAGGTTTTGAAAACCGAATTATACCCTTCCTACGAACATAAAAGAATGAATAGAATGAATATTTTATGCATGCTTTCCGTGAAAGATAATTAAATTTTTAAGGGCATCGAAAATCAATATGAAAAATGCACGTTGCATAAGTAGTCATTTTTTGCAGAATATTGTTTTTTTTCATGCAGCCGAAAAGAAGTTCGGTCGAAAGCCGGCATCCTGAGGTAAATGAATTATTATAGAACTATGCTGCACGATGATTAGCTTTACAACCCTAGTTAATTAATCGCTTTAAAACGCATTACGCAATTTCGATTGACATTTCATGAGTTGGCTCACCTACTGACTCCCAAAAACGGCGGATGTGCAAAAGACTGGGAGGCAACACTACCATCCGCTATAAACGGCAGTTGTAAGTGAAAAATGCGCGGCAAAGTAGTCACTGAAGTGCGGGTAGAAATTAAAAACCTAACAAAAAGAGCTAACCGATGAAGGATCAGGAGATTTTTCCTCCTCGCGGCGGAGATCCAGCTCTTGACGATGCGTCAACTCCCCAAGAACCTGAGCCTCCAGCTTGGCGTGCCGGGCTCGTAGGGTCTTTTCTGTGTTTTGGCGGCGTTCCGCAGCTATTCGAGCCTCAATTCGTTCGCGAGCTCGTCGCAGGCGCTAGAAGCCGTATCCGGGGGAGGGGAAGGTGGAAAGATGGTAAAACATGCATTAGCCTAACTTAATTGCACACGATCTGTTCTCTCTCATCAGCAGATTCATGACAGTGAGTACGAATCAGGATCCAACCCCCCCCCCCCTTCATACAGATTTGGTATCCAGAAAAATCCAGAACGAGCATACTTAGAACTCAAAAGGGACAGTGAATATAAAAGGCTAAAAAGACAGAGTATACCGCATTCAAGACATTAAAGTGGACTTTACCGATCTCCCTACTTGGGCCGTCATCGTTTCCCTGTTCATTCCTCCGTGACACTTTTTTGCTCGAACACAAGGAATTGCCTAATTTAAACTAAATCGCAGCCCAGGCGGCTAGAGCGCTGGCCGTACTAAAGCCTTCTCCCTGATGACGTAGGTTTGAATCCCACCGAGGCACAGAGTTTTTCACAGTTGGGCCAATATGAAGTGGCATTTCCGAAGTGAGAATCCGAAACGTCAGGCCAGTAAATTTCTTGTTCCAATGATCGCATCTTCATCTTCTGAGTCTCCAAACATGTCAGAGCAGTAGCAGCAGTCACCACGTTCCACGTGACAGGAAGCAACTTACAATGGTGCACGCTGCTCTAACAGATGAAACCTTCATCGCAGTAGGCACCAATAATCGCGAAGCATTGATTGGACTAGGTCCTTAAACAGAAGCAAGCACATGAGTGAATCCTCATTCGACTGAGGATCTCCTAGGCGCCTGCGGTAATCTCACTCCTAAAAAACAGTCTTCAAGAAAGGCCTGACGATATCCTCCTAAAAAAATACAATTGTTGCGAGAATCCCTATCTTTAAGAAACTCGGCATTTAGAAGTGCATTATGTTTCCGCAGTAAAAATTCCACTAGAAAGGACATTCTTTTAGAGTGATTTGTGGTAAGGATCGGGTAAAGGCCCCCAAGCATCTGTGGCATACAAAGAATACCTATTATACTTATTTAAGTTGGTTTTAGTCCGACACGATTATTTCGCTTTGGCGTTTCATCGTCTGTTGTAGACGGTCTGGTGCCTTATCTACAATGACCTCAGCTCAGAGATTTCAAAAAAACTTAATGTTCATTTTTTTAATTGTCATGCGTAATTTCGGTTGCTATATGTCATTTCATTAAAACTTTTCTGTCCGAAAAACGAATTTAACAATTATCTATACTTATTTTGCCATTCCTCCAGGCATACATAGGCCCCGCCCGTAAAACCGTTATTACCACCTTTTCCCGCAAGACAGACACCTTTGGTTGGTCGTGTGGGTGTTTTTCTGGGGTTTTTCACCCGATGCTTACCTGATCTGTTTCAGGGGTCTTTAGAAAACAAATCTGCCTTTCCGTTCGGCAAAAGGTACAATTTAACGCAAGACAGATCGCCCAATGGATCTGGTGACAGGCTAAAAATAATCAGCGAGCCCACTGTATTTAAAGGCGCACAATGGGCACCTGCGGCTAGACATTGAGTTCATAGACCGAACCATCTGAATTCCAGATTTTTCTCCATGGTTTCGTGAAGGAAACTCTGGGCACTCGCTAAGTACTGAACTATATCTGGAAAAATGGCAGGTTTCGTAAACGAACCCCTTTACATAATTCTCTCTGATGACTGGTTCGAGTGTGGATCCGAAACGTCAGGCAAATAAAAGTTCTATTCATGCGATTGCGTCTCCTTCTTCCAGACTTCGGGAACTGCGAACTCTACAGTGCGGGCAGTGGGTCAGTCACCATCAACACGTCTGAAGTGACAATAAAATGTAAGAGAGGAGTTGTTCCTGACCAGATTAGGGAAATAGGAAGACCTGCACACTTAGCGCACTAACGCCAAAATCGATACTTTTCACGTAACAACATTTGCACGTGAGTGCACGTGGCTAGATCAGGTAGGACATATTCGAGTTCAATAGTGGAGAAAGTGCGATTCTCAGGTGGACTGTCAAAAGAAGGAGCGCTCAACGGGAGAGGTTTACTTTGGGCCTAACGCTTCGAAATTAGGAGTGCAGTCAGCGGAAATCACAGTGACGCGTTCAGTGTGTGAATGAGATCTCTGAGACCGTACAAGAATCCCTCGCGTCACTTGTAATAGAAGTTGCTCACAAGCCTGGCTCAACAAACCACCAGCAATCGATGCAGTCAGAAGATCTCACCTCTAGTCATGGGCGGTCGGCCGCTGTCTACCGACTTAAGTGCAGCTGTGGGGAGTGCAATTACGACGGCTGCGAACGTGATCGCACGAGCAGTAGTTGGCCGTTCGAAAGGTTGCACGCAATCTCAGAAAAGGACAAACATCGTCAACCTTCACGCCATTGAGATTCTAGGTCCAGGCGATGATCACGCACTAGCAGACAGGTGAAGATCTCGATATCTATCGATGGCTCAAACTACCGCCACATAAACTTGTCTCAGGTTTTGCGAACCAACTTGACAGGGGACGATAAGGGCATGAAACAATCGAGGCTGTCAATTATCACCGCCATCATCGGAACGAGGGGGACAGGTGAAAGGGTGATCCAATCACCTTCCGTAAGGGGCATTGGTAGCGTACGCAAAAGGCAAAGTGCGCCATATATTGTGAGAGGAGTGTACATGAATCTCCAAGCTCTGAATACTAGTAACCGAAACCATTACTAGACACCTCACCCGGCGAACGCCTCTTTCTCCATTGATATCAGCGCGTGTTAGCAAGCCAACGTTGCGGCACCGATTATTCACTTAATGAATGCGTGGCCGCAAGTGACTGTCTGGTTTTCCTAACGCGCTAAGGCCTCCCTAACCCGAGACAGTGGTCCGGAGGATCGGGCCGGCTTGGCTGGTCGCCGGGGCTTTGAGGTGGGTATACTGATGGATGGAGGCCAACTAGCTCTTCATGTGGTCTCGCTCAGTCGGCGATGAGAGTGGGTGTGGTGTTTGGACACTAGTATGATAGATTCAAACTCACCTCCGATTGTGGATCTTCAAAAGCAATAAAGAGCTGCTCCGGGGCCCGCTGGTTTTCGGGAATTGGCGTGGTCTCCTTCGAGTCAGACGAATTCGAGGCAGCATCCCGGGCCTCTGTGAACTTTTCAGCAGCGAGGAGACTGGTCGTAGCAGCCCGGGCTCCGTTTTGCACAACGGGATTGGACAGATCAAGGACAGAGGGAGACTGTGGGTGAAGATTAGGAGATTTTGATTTAAATTAACAAAGTAGCCAGAATGAAATTAAACCAACAACCGACAACCAAGTTGTCCAATCAGCATTAAGAAAACGGACTTGTTTCTTCAGATCATGGCAGATGGAGAGGGCTTTCGAACTGGTTGAGAAGATTTTCTTGGATTAGTTCCAAATAAAACTTTAGGGATTGGTAACACATCCTCGGCATTCCAACGGCGTACGCAAACAACAGCATGAGCAAGTTCCTCTGTTGGATTCGTAAGCAAGAAGGGTGGAATAGACAAAATACAACTTCAGCCGAACCACTCACGACAGGCTTGGCCACCAGACGCCATCGGATTTGAATTTATTGGCTTGTCATCTCGATTTAGGCACTGTTAGTGATGCAGCAGGTTAATCTAACAGATATCTCAGATACTTATTTTAACCCAGCTGATATAAATCGTGCGAAGCAGCAAGACTTGTGTTACCACAATCAGAAATTTAAAAAGGCACATTTAAATTCCCCACCGGAGGCGATGTCGAGGTTCCTGCCGGACTGCGAACATAGAAGTAGCGTGGTTAGCTGGATTTCCATTAGACATAGTGCCTCATACCTGCTAGCTGCTGCAATTGTCACTGCCCATCATGCAAGACCTGCGAAATGAAATTAAACCAACAAGCCAAAAAATTACGTCCGACAACTAAGCGGTTCAATCAGCATTAAGAAAACGGACTTGTTCGGTAGCAATCGGGAGATGGCATCCAAAAAAATCCGCCTAACCAAAGCAGCCTGTCTTACGGGACAGGTAGTAATAAGGGTTTTATGGGTGGTAGCTGGTCGGGATGTACGATACTAGCTGACGGAAAGCCCTATTTGAAGAGGTGTATGATCGAAGTTGGCCCGCTCTCCGTTACGTTATTACAAAATGGGTCGCCAAAGGCAGTACAGTGGTAACGGACGACTGGAAGGTGTATAATCGCCTCCCCTCAGAAGGTTATCTACATTTCTCTGTTAACCACTCAAAGAACTTCAAGGACCCTACCACCGGACGGCACACCAATGCCATTGAGGCATACTGGAGTAGGCTGAGAAGGAAATTCTATGAGGGAGGCCCTGTATGTGGTCAAGCTGTGTGGGCTCACATAGACGAAGTACAGTATCGTCTTTGGTTTGGCCTCAATGCCATGTCTTTGAAAGATGCCTGGGAACTGTTCCTGTCACATGTTGTGCAGACTTATCCTATTTAAAAGTGACTTTGTTTTGTAATAAACTGCCATAGTGGGAATGTATGCCGTATATTCTGGTGTACGTGTGTAAAGATGCGGAAGGTTGGGCAACAGCGACCATCGTCCATGTAACCTGCGATGTTCATTCGGCCAGCCCATGTTAGGCCGTCGCGGAAAGTCCAAATAGTGCATGAAAGTAGGCCTGAAACCGCTGATATAGCCTGAAGGCGCTTGAGTCTACTGTTAAATGTATTATTTTTAGGTAGCGAATTTTTTTGGGTGCCACCTCCCGATTGTTACCACTTGTTGGTTCAGGTCAGGGCAGATAGAGAGGGCTTTCGAACTGGTTGAGAAGATTTTCTTGGATTAGTCCCAAATAACACTTTAGCGATTGGTAACACATCCTCGGCGTTCCAACGGCGTACGCAAACAACAGCATGCGAAAGTTCCTCCGTCGGATTCGTAAATAAGAAGGGTAGAATAGACAAAATACAGCTTCAGCCGAACCACTCACGACAGGCTTAGCCACCAGACGCTATCGGATTTGATTTTATTGGCTTGTCATCTCGATTTAGGTACTGCCAGTGATACAGCTGGTTAATCTAACAGATATCTCAGGTCCTTATTGCAACCCATTAGATATAAATCGTGCGAAACAGCAAGGCTTGTGTTACCGCAATCAGAAATCGAAAAAGGCGCATTCAACGTCCCCACGAGAGGCGATGTCAAAGTTTCTGCTGGACTGCGAACATATAAATACCGTAATTAGCCGGATTTCCATCAGACAGTGTGCCTCGTATGTCGCTGCTTATAATGCAAGACCTGTGAAATCGCTGTCTGGACTCTCAAGTCCCCATAAATTTTTCACCACAAGCCTGACCCAACATGCATCTATCTTTGATCCAGTTCAGACCCAGTGGACGCAGACTTGAAATAGCGATCACCGACTATAGTGTCAAGTAGGAACTCTAGGAAAGTCATAAAGCGGCCCAGAAGGGTGATCCCAGGAGTGTTTGTACGAGCACGCATGCACCATCGGCTAAGAATAATTCCCTAACCCCTTGTTCCATACATAGAGTCGACTGATTTTATGACGGTCATAAACCGCTATTATGCGACGAATGGTGCACATGGAATTTTGCACGCAGGGCAGGCTGAGTTTGAAGTAGTCCTGACAGCCGCGCGCACAGGGCATGGGATAGACAGGCAAGTGGATGCTACTTAGTTCAACTTGAGTTAGTCATTCAAAACACTCATGCTGTGAAGAACGCGTGTGAATTGGTGAAATACAAAACTTGGTCTCGAATGCTCTGAGCCAGTACGTGGTGAATCAGCAAATCCCAATTGCACAATAGTTTACGTACTTTTGAAAATCTACAAACTCTCAGGTTACACGTATTTGACAAACACAAGCGCTTCGGCTAGATCGCAATTGGTAGCCAGGCCCCGTATTACAGGTGGCTGGGGGGTTTGATTACTGGGGCTATTTTCTGGGGCTACATAATCACATCTGACCCATTTGGCTTCCGTTTTACGTTTGAGGTCAGGATTAGGGACCGGTTAATGGTTTCCGACTTTCGGGCTAGGGTTATGCCCTTTAGGCTTAGGTATTCTGGTTACGGTTAGGGTTTGAGTCTACGACTAGGTTTCAGTATTACGTTTAGGTTTTACAGTTAGGGCTATGTCTAAGGGCTACGGTTACGTTTGCGATTTCGGTTTGGGTTAGGGTTGCCGTTAGGATTAACGTTTAAGGTTCAGGTTAGGATTAGGGTTAAGGTCGCCGCCCGCTTCCCCATTCTTGGCTACCAACCGCGATCTAGCCCATGCCCTTCTTCCCTGCCATGATTGTCTAACGAACTCATTTTGGTTGGGTTTTATCGGGATCGCCCTTGTGTTGCTGCGGTTGCGAAACCAGCAGATCATCATCCTCCAGAATCCCCCGCCGCCTATTTCGGCTTCCAATCTTCGATTACATCAATTGGCCCTCTCTAGTACACCAACCTAACATCAACGATCAAGTGCGCATAGCTGCTGACGACCGGTTTTTGCTCATTTTCAAATCCCACTTGCCGGATCGACTGTGTTGGCCATCGACGACCTTCTACAGACAGGGCCATCATAGTTTCTTTCACGCAACCTTGACACATCACCCCCGCTCCAGCTCAAATCGACCTCCACGTGACACCAATGGCAACGCGATTTTGGTGCTAGCGCCCATCTGGGATGGCCCTACTCCCGGCGCTAGCTCCAACATTGCGCCTTCGTCTGGCGTCCATCTGACATCCCACACCTCATCATGACGCTCTCACTGCGCCTGGCCAATCACTGAAATGGAGAGACTTTAGCGTTCTACCAATCATGGCTGTCGAAACTGGCCAATCAACTTCAAGGCGAACGCAGACACGCCCTCGCTCAAGACATCCGGCGGCGGCGGCGGCGGCGGCGGCGGCGGCGGCGGGGGAGAACGCGTGCGCCTCTCGTCTGTCTGCCAGTTTGCTCCGGCATATTTTCCCTCTTATTCTACGGCCTGCTGACGTCTAACTTCAGCTTTTACCACACAGGACCTGGCCTGGAAATTGTGGCGGTTGGAGTCTGCACATGGCTTTGGCTGTCGCGACACATCTGTCCGCGTCATTTGAAGAATCACTATGCGTGCGGTATGCGGGAATACCGTGATCAGTCATTGGGCCTAGGCCTACCTCCGATCGTCCAGACATATCCGTGTCACAGGAGATGTTATGTGAGAGAATACGGCAGGTCATCGCTGTCTGCCCGGGTCGTGTTGGTCCTCGTAGCGTTCGAAGGATGAACAACCAAAGTTCGGTCATCCGTCGTAGAGGGGCTAACGATTGCGGGATCTTGATTTCATATTCAAGATGGAACGGAAGTTAACTTCCAACGAGGCGAAACTCACACTAGAGACACTAGCAGTGACATGCTTATCAGTTGCCTGAGTCGCTACCTCACACTCCAGGCACGAGCCAATGGGTGACTCACGATACTGTGTCGTCTAGTCAATCAGATCTGGTTGCAGAAGAAGCACAGTTTTGAACAAGTGGGCATTCCTACAGGCCTGAGGTAACCTTTTGGAGGCCTTATTGATTTCTCCTGAGTGAATTAGGAAAACTGAAGGTTACGCAGGAAAGACTGGCTTGATGCACGGATTGCCAATGACCAAGCTACCCATTACACCAGTTAGGTAGCGTGGCCTGACTCTGATGGTGCCATATTGGCTGACTGTTAATTAGCATTCCACCTACCTTTGACTATCTGGTACAACACAGGCATATGCCGACAAGTGATTTACAACCGGGTAACAAGTACACCTTTTGACAATCTGCAAGGAACTCGCATAAACGACTTGAGAAAAGGCGAGGGTCGCGAAAACAGTGAGATTAAATAGGCCCACCGGCTGGTTGACTGCCTACGGAGAGGTAGCAGTGTGGACAACCGGAGATGGGCGAGGGCGCAGTGGCAAAGAGAGCTGAACAGTATGCCTACACGTGCCACACACGATCTGGTCCCCCCCCACAAAAGGTTGCGCTGTAGATGTATTGGATCAAGGCGGGGATCAGACCGGCTCATGACAGGCGTCAATTGGGTATCGCAGAGTCCGCGAGAGGCAATAACTACTGTCATACACGGGGAGAGGTAGGGGTGAGCTGGCGAGCCGAGATGCAAACCCTCACGCTGCGTCAGCCACTGTGCCCATGGGCGACACAGTGTGTCTGTGTACGTGTCATACAGTAGGTGGGGGCTTCGTGTCACGTTAACCACCTGTCCGATCTCACGCCCAGTCGGCTTGACCCCGCTTTCCTATTAAAGCGTGATGACTGCGTGAAGAGGGTGATATAAATGCTGCGATACTTAATTATTAAAAAATTACCTATACATCACCACCGAATGGTGGTTCTCATCGCTTGCGATGGACTGACTTATCACTGCTATTAGTATTGACAAAACATGACCAGAAAACGCTCGACTTCTTAAAAAAGTCAACCGAAAAAATCCGCCAGTACTTACAGGCGAATCAGACTGCCCTGGAGACTGGATGTTACAAGTGGTATCCACTCCGGAGGGTACAGGTTCGCCGTTTGGCTTGTCAAGGTTCGTGCTCTGCATGTCCGCCTGCGAGGGATACCGCAGGGGGGTGCGAGTGTTCCAGGTCGCCCTGGACGTGGAGGGTGTCATCGGAGTGGTGTTCGGGGAGTGATGCAACCGACCGACCGAGTGGGCAGAGTGCAGACTGCGAGGTGGTCGCGGTCGGCTCCCCACGGCGTCCTGGACATTCACATCATCGTCCACGGTTGGGGAATCGGTGTTTCGTGCTGCCGTTGAGTCCATAA